AGGGAGGCTTCAGAGCTTCTGCTCCTTGACGGTTGTGTATTTAGTGCTTGAAGCTAAGCTTCTGTAAGTTTAAGTGGACACTAGTAGAAAATCAGATGACTTTCTAAAGTGGCGAGAGCCTCCGTCTGCCTCTGAAAATCAGGGTTTCCATGCCTGATTGCATTTACTGTAGCACTGCTCGCTCAGGACTTAAATTTGTGACTATTGTGTTGCTGAACAGCCTCATTATAATGTGTAATGTATACTATGTAAGGTGTTCAGCAAAGAGAAACTTTACGTATTTACCAGAAAAGAAGTTTTTTTTAGTAAAGCAGATTAAAATTAGCGTCTTCACCTTGAAACCTTTTCCCTATTTAATTCTTGACAGTGAAATAACTAGCATGTAACCTATGTGCTCAGTAGCCCTGCTGCCTGAGTGCTGTTATCTCGGTGAGAAACTGAAGTCCTGCAGCATTGTACGAGGCTGAAAGAGTCATACGGCCCTTTTCTGCCTTCTGACATTCAGCGTTCTTGATGGAGGTTTTCTTTGCTTGCTCTTTAAAAAGCTCTGGTGGTGGCAGTTCTTCTCCGGGTAGTCTGTTCTGCTGATTTTTCTCTACTGTTAGAAAGTCATGGCATTTACCCACAGGTGTCTGTAACTTATATGTCTGAAATAACAGCTGGCTTTGAGAGAATTAGGCTTCCCAAGCTGCCATGGATGGTATCTTGCCTGCAGTGGCATCTGTTGTAAATGGCATTACTTGATTATTTCTCAGTCCTTATTTGATTACAAAGGCGAGTTACTGGATAGCTACTTGGGGCATACAGCAGAGCTGCACAAAGCCAGATTGCTCAGGAGGCCTGGAGTTTATGTACCTATGTATGGAATCTTTATTTCCATCATCAATAATAAGGTTTTTGTGCCCTTGTATTTTCTAAGGTCCCTGGTTATCCTTTGTTGCTGTAGTTCCTGGAAGAGAACCACGGCCAGAGAGCTGTGCTGTGCATTGGGTACTGTGTGATGGTGATGAGTTGTGCAGGTAGCTGGCTGAAAATAAGGTGGTGCGACATAAGAACTGTATGGGGTCAGTGTAATTGTTGTGCAGGGCTGAGTATGTCACTTCTTTCAGGAGGAGGCTTTTAATGTGGAATGAACTCGGAACTTCTGTTTTGCATTTCTGGGACTGCCAGGCATAAAAATGCTTTTCTATCGGTGACATTGGGCCCAAACAAGCTAGGGAAATAGGAAACTTCTTGGGACTGAACCTATGCTTGGCAGCACGAGAAAAGTGGTGACAGAAGGGATGCAGCTACATGCTTCTGAGGTGCTTGTATGATTGATGCAGCTATAAGAGCTTGATTTCTTTTAGATTCAGCCTCCTGGTAGTTTTTACATGCCCACTTAGAAACAAATCATGCAGAGATGTTCAGGATTGTGATGGATTTGGGGGAAGGTGTTCAACATCTGAAGATACTTTCTGCAAACTAATTGTTAGGAACTTGAAAACTCTCACAGTCCCTTCATCAGTTTGGGGCAGACTGTAAATAATTTACTTAGAGCACCAAATCTGTACATCCCAGGTGTCAGTGAGCTTGACATTGATAGTTGCTAAATGTCTGTAATTCTCATTTATTGTAGGTACTCCTCCTCATTTTAAAAGATTACCTTACTGAGTGCTGCTCAGTGTTGGTTCGCAGTGTTTAGGATGTAATCTGTCAGAGGTCGTGGGGGAGGGATATTGTGTCAGGGTGTAGGAAAAAACCCGAACAACAAAATCCCTAAGAAGTTCATTTGGAAATGGAGGTAAATCTCTGAATAAAGAGGAGACCATGTCGAGACTGCTTTTGTAGCTGTCCTACTGGCTGAATGAAGGCTGGCTTTCCGTAATTTCAAGTCCGTGACATATATCCAGTCCTAACAATCTGATATATTATCTGAATAAATGTATTGATTTGCTCGATTTACTGATTTTTACTAATGAGGTTTAGAAAGAGATGTTCTGTCTTTAAAATTCTTGTTTTCCCATTAACTTCTGAAACCATCTGCTGATTTTGTTATAAAGCCTTTATCTCGGGCTCATTAAAACCACAAAAAGTAAGTTCTTATATGTCACGTGCAATATATGGTGGCATGAGAGAGTAAGAGGCTATTAAAGTATCGTCATGTCACCTCCCTAAACTGAGGGAAGAGCAACAAACAGCATAAGCTCATCCTGCATTTGCTACTAGAAAAACCACATCAGAGGAGAGGATGTTTTGAATAACTTAATTACAAGAGAAACGTCAAGCCTGAGAATGCAATTATGGAGTATGTCCACAGGAAACCAGAGTTCTTTAATTCTGCTTTCATGAAACTGTTCGTTTAACCTTTCTTTGGCAGGAAGGCCTCGAGTACCCAGCTTAGTAAGTAAATGCTTTCTACATTTGAGAAGAATAATTCCTATAGTGTATTTTAGCCTTTCTGTGGCTTTTCTCACAAGCTAAACATTTCTGTTCGTGGAGGCTGTTCCGAGATAGCTCTACGTTATTGAAAGTTTTAAAATATAAAGTTAAAAAAGAGCTGTAGGGATGGTCCACCGATCTCAAAGCAGCAACCACAGTAGCCGATGCAGCTAGTGTCAGAGGGTCTGCTACGTGGAGCTTAGCTAGTACTTCTACCCTGTTGCCTGGTGCACAGCTTGCTGTCTGATCTCTAGTTATTCTTGGCAAGAGGGACCTTGAGCTGACAGACTGAGTAAGTAACACAGAGGCAGTAGTTTGGATCTAGTTAGTGGGACTGCAAGTTAGTTTGATGATTGAGAGCTGTAGTTCTGCACGGTCAATACTTGGCACCCAGGGAGACTGTCTGTACCCCCAGTTGCAGGAAATTTTTTCCAAAGAGCATGCAGGCATCTTGAAGAGGCGCTTCCATAGACACACTTTCCAATTCTAGTTAGAAATGATAAATGTGGGGTTTGAAAGTGTTATTGCTGCCTCAGTGATTGTTATACTTTGGGGTATGTTGGTTTCATACTTTTTTGCTGCTTTAAAAATCTTTGACAACAATCGGTGTGTGTGATGTCACTCTGGAACTATTGGTTCCAAGTTATTTTTTCTTTAATAAATGCTTAGGTTATGTGACACTAATGTGACACTGATGTTCTAAGCTTCTGGCATCTGTTACAGAAAGCTACCCACAAGCAATCATGAGTTTTTTCCAAGCTCTGATTTTGTCAATGTGTTGGGCAGAGAGAAATAGATGCTGAGAGGATAGTTTTAGTAGTAATCAAGCTTTTTCCCCCCCACATATTAGAATATTTTGTTCTAGGTGAGTAATTTTAGAAAAATCAATTCCTGCAGAATCAGACCTTTATTGAACAAACTAGCAGATTTGTACCAGTTCTGTCAGATGGCATAACATGAAATGTAAGAAACCACACTGTAAAAGGTAACGCTTTTTAGATCTTTTTGGAAAATGAATGTAGCACATAAAAGAAAAAAACAGCAGGCAAAATGAATCAGCTTACAAATAAGGAACGATATTCTTTGCTACAAAGGCTGTAGGAAAAATCTGATAGCCATATCAGAGTTACTTTTGTCAGTCAGCAATGCATGGAACAGTGGAAAAAAAAACCAACACTGGCATAATGTCTCTCAGTTACTCCATTTGGAATTAAAAGCATACTTTAAGCTTCTGGGAGCAATGTGTATCCAATACTTAGGCCTTGTCCTAGTGGAGTGGTAGAATTATTTGAGCTGCCATGGCTGCAAAATTGCACATGTCCCTTTTCTTGCAGCTTGTTGGTATGTTAATGAATCATTGCTTGTATGGATGCACTCTGTGTGTCAAGAATGTCAACAGGTGATGTTTATTCATGAGATAACAACTTGTGCTTACATAGATGTGACTCTCTTTTTCCTCTAGTAAGTGTAAGATAAAAAGCAGGGTCCAACGTTGATGCTTCTGTGGAAAGATGCAGGTTTTTAACCAACTTTTTTCAGAATTCATTAAGCTTGTCCTTTGACTATAATCTCCTTTATTGAAATAAATATCTACAACTTATCTGCTGCAGCTGTTAAGCAGTGCTTGTCCCAGGAAGTGTGTCATTCCTCAATAATTTAGAAATTACTGAATCTTTTTAAATGTGTCTTTTTTTTTTTTTTTTTTAAGGGAAGGATTTTTTGGTCCAAAAGATTACGTTGGAATATTTAAAAATCATACATACAAACACCAGTAGCTTCTAGAACTACAGTTTGCACAAGTAGAAATACAATTCTAATCTATGAATCAGCATTGGTACACTTTTGCTAAATTCTTGTTTAACTTTGTTAGGTACAAGAAAACTCACCGGGGCATAGAGCTGGATTGGAGCCATTCTTTGATTTTATAGTGTCCATTAATGGTTCAAGACTGGTAAGTGTGTTGCTATTTTATCACTCTGAATATAAACAATATGTTGAGAATCTTATTTTTATAGGTAAGCTAATGCATTTGTTTTATTTAAATGTATATAAAATATTTCTCCTTAGTTTAAAATGAGAAAGCCTAACTGCATCAGAAATTCATTTCCTTCACCCTTGTAGTTATAATTCTATCAAAAATTTAGCTGGAGAATAAGGATGCAGACAGACAGACGTGCTCTGCAGACATCTGCGCCAGCAGAAGGTAGTACTACCTACTGATCCACCACTAGCTGCTGGTGGTAGTGCCCCCCTGGTTCTGTCTGCAAAACTGCTTATGTGAGGACTTGCAAACTCATTTCAGTCAAACCAGGTTGACTGAAAGAGCTGCTGTCGAAGCCGTTAGCTGGGCAGGAATCATGGGAGAAAGTTTTCAAGCAGAGCTGTAGTGAGACAACAAACCATCATAGCAGTGGAAAAGAACAGCTGGGGGTAAGCTCTTCCACCAGTACGGCTGGATTCAAGCAAGCCTCTGAAAAGCTGCAAGGCGCATCGTATCACAGGTTTAATTAAAGTGCTTTCATGTTTGGAAAGCATGACCTGTTACTGTGAAATCCCAGGTTTTTGCTGGGGTTGTATTCTAGAATTGTGAAGGGACTGGAAGCTCTTTATAAAATAGCTGTAGATACATATTCTGACAATGCCTAGTGTTTATAGGATCTTTGAACTACAAAGCTGGTGCCATAGAACTGGACGCTTGCTGCGTTAAATACTAAACCAAGCTCTTGTTTGAACATTTGCAGAATAAAGACAATGACACTCTCAAGGACCTGTTGAAAGCAAATGTTGAAAAACCTGTAAAAATGCTAGTATACAGCAGCAAAACACTGGAACTGAGAGAAACATCAGTGACCCCCAGCAACATGTGGGGTGGACAGGGCCTGCTGGGCGTGAGCATTCGTTTCTGCAGCTTTGATGGGGCCAATGAAAATGTGTGGCATGTTTTGGTATGTACGGACTTCCAGGTATTTTTCTTACTGTTGCTTACTGTTAAACTTTTTATCTTTTTACTGAAAAGTAACTGGCAAGGGGGTGAGAAAGCCATGAGATCAAATTGTTCTGTTTTCCCTTTATTGATTCTGGGTTTGGAAAGACATTTGAACTAGAACCGTGTGTCTGTGAGTGTATTATCAGATCTTGTATTTAAATCAGTGGTTTTGTACAGTACTCAGGGGTCCTTCTAGCGGTATCAGAAGAGACTGTCATCTGGCCACTGTTTCACTAGCTCAGTGACTATTCTACTAATTGTGTTGAAAACTTGACCCGTTTGTCTGTCTGGCTCAAGACTTCTGTGAAGTGCACATCCAACTGTCCTGCTACACCCTGACGGTTATGTAGTGTTTTGTAACTTTCCATCTTAAAACTAGGAAGTGGAACCAAATTCTCCTGCTGCATTAGCTGGACTTAGACCCCATAGTGACTATATCATTGGAGCAGATACCGTCATGAATGAGGTAAGTATATAAAAACAAGATTTTGATTTTTTTTTTTTTTTTTTCAACCTAAAAAAAAATTTGTACCAGGGCAGTTTGAAACATCCCCGGTTCTGTCTCTGTTCAGTGCTAATGGAAGTAAGCTAATGCAGAGATGAAGGACTCTGGCATGGTGCCTCTTCTTTGTGCTTAAATGCAATTCTGGAAATAAAACCTGCTCTTAAATATCTTTGTGAAGTCAGATAGAACCTTTTTTTTATACTCTAATATTAATATTTGAAATAGCAGATTTGAAATCTGGGTTGTGCCACATGTTTTCTGAGTTGCACTAGCAAAGTACATTTAAAAGTTGACCTTGTTGCAGTGCTGCTGTTTTGTCACAGCTGCAGCGTGTAGCAATTGCCAGGTTCTGTTGCAGAAAGTTAGAACTAGGAAGATGATTATTCTAATGTAAAATGGTAATATAAGAACAAGAAAGCCCTTATTAATTTTTATCCTTTTGCAGTCTGAAGATCTCTTTTCCCTTATTGAAACACATGAAGCAAAGCCATTAAAACTTTATGTGTACAACACAGACACAGATAATTGTCGGGAAGTGGTGATTACTCCAAATTCTGCCTGGGGTGGAGAAGGCAGGTAAGGAGACAATATGTTACAGCGGGACAGGATGACTTTCTTATAGCACTAGCCTGCCTAAAAGCTGCTTGCTTAAGTTTTCTACAAAGACAGGAAAAAAGTGTTGCTATATCCAAGGCATTTCTGCTATAATAAATTATATATTTACTTGAAATTCAGATTTAATTACTAACAGGGGTGTGTGTATTTACACAGTAAATTGGCTAGTGCAAAAATGCACCAAGTGCCACAGTTGCTTTCTGCATCAGGCTTCAAATAGTCATTAGGCTGTAGCCTAGCTGTAGCTAGGCTGTAGCCTAGCACAGTAGCCAGAACAGAGGACTGCAAATAACAACTGTGAGTTGAATTCCAAGTGGCATACCTGATACAGCTGCTTGGTTTAAATAACCATGAAATTTATTTTGTGCTAAATGTTTATTGCTAAAAGCTACAGAATTTCCCTTCAGTTGTCTCGTATCGATTATTTCTCCAGAGCAAATGAGGCAACATTTGGTGGGGGGAGGGGAAAGTTGTACAGAACTTATCTTGAAACTTATTGGTGTCTTAAGTCATTTGTGCGTTGCTTGCTATGGAATCTGTAGTTGTAAAGTCACTTCACCGACTTTTAAATGTTTGTATTTTAAAAGCCTAGGATGTGGCATTGGTTATGGATATTTGCACAGGATACCTACACGCCCATTTGAAGAGGGAAAGAAAATTTCTCTTCCGGGACAGTTGCCTAGTGCATCTCTCAGTCCCCTCAAAGATGGCTTCACAGAGGTAAGTTGTTCTCACTTTTTTGGCTTGGTAAAAAATGAATTAAGATGTTATATTGCTTTTCTTCTTCTATTGGTTCTTGTGGAAACAAATCCTAAGGATGTAACTTTCTTTTTTTCCTCTCAATAAGGTTCAGCTGTCATCAGTTAATCCCGCAGCCACATTACCCCCTGGGTCAGCAGGCCTTGAACAGAGTCTGTCAGGGCTTTCTATTAGTTCACCCTCAACTACTGTCAGTAACGTTCTCAGTACAGGTTAGTATGGGAGTAATTGACTTCTGAAATGGATGGGTTTTCTGACATTTTTGCATTCACAGATGTTTCTATCAATTTAGTAGAAGGCAGAAGAAGGAATAAAATTTTCTCTTCCCCAGACTTTTCTCAACAACAAGGATAGAGTACTGTAATCGTGCCCTTACTTGCTCACAAAATAATTGCAAACAACTTCTATAGGAAGTACATTGCGTATTATTTAGAATACTGTTTTTCTTCATCAACATTTTATGGTTAAGCCGAATAGTAATTCTCCTGTAAGCAATTACTTATTTGTACCCCTTGAAAAAGGGAACTGAAGTGTTGTATGCTTAAAATTAATGTTGTTTTCCTGTATACTCCACCAGGTGTTCCAACAGTTCCATTATTACCACCGCAAGTCAGTCAGTCCCTTACCTCTGTGCCACCAGTTAACCCAGCAACTACATTACCAGGTGAGTAGGTAAAATGTCTTAAAACATTTCTTAAAAAAATCTTAAGGGAACAAGGGAAGAGACCTGTCTTTTCCACCACTTTGTGCGGGGCAGGTGGGTATTACTTTGCATAACTTACACATTTCATGTTAAAGATGTCTATACAACCTCTACAGTGTTAAGAATTTTTTTTTTAGAGTATGTGCACACCATGTCTGTAGCACAGAAGACTGAGTTGGCAACAAAGTTTACAATCATTTACCTTTTAGGGCCCCCTGCAACAAGTTCAGGACTTCTCAGGACGGTATTAGCTTTGCTATTTGCAACATTTCTTGAGTTGATATGTTTTTACTTTCTGTAGTTCATCAATTTTGTATTGCAAAATACTTTTGCAAATAGCTTCACATTTCCTGGTTTGTCCTTTGCACTGGGACATCATGGCAGAAGAAAGATCTGAGAAGGGACATTCTTGCCTATTTCTACCTTCCTTTCACCCATAAAACCTCCATTTTGGGAAACTGCATTTCATACTCAGCTTGATCATTCCCCCTAGTATAAACAGAGGGCTAATGATACAGACCTGTACGATGAAGTTACTGTTTCTGAATTATTTAGTAATTTAAACGGATATAACAAAAGTAAGAGTCTGTTTACAAAGTGGTGTGCGTTATTTCCTGGTAATAGTGAACATTTCAAGCACTGATATTCCAGACTTATTCACAGTGGGTAAGATGAGGGTTGTACAGGATTTTGCCTTGCTTTAAGGCTTTTCTCCTCTCAGTCTTATTACTGTATTATCAACCGTTTGTTTCAGAATTAGCCTTCTCGGAGCTAAACACAAGGTAGGAGTAGAGCCCTTGTCCCAGAAGTGCAGCCCTTCTAAGACAGGAAATTCAGGACTGGAAAGATGTACCATAGCAAACACAATGATGGAAGGGCGTGTGTTGTGTTCATTATATATTTCTGTTCTATTTTCAGTCCTTCCTGACTTTGAAAGTTACTTTGTCTTGCTTTTTCTATATATTTTTGTGTTTAACTCTAGTTATGAACTAAGTAGAAAAGACTAATAATAGAGTAATCAATATTGGAGATCAGAAATACTATGTATTTCATCCTGTTACTATCTTCTGCCATTCACATTAGGAATGGAGGGCTTCTGGTACACTGCTGCAGTGAAATAACTACCTTTGTAAAAACCTGAGCTTGGAATGCAAACCTTCTAATTCCTTGAAATAAGATCCTGCTTTCCTCAGAAAAATCAGAAGGGTTGGGATTATGTATTTGCTAGGCCAGACTTCCTGCCATCAGTATCTGTTTTCACTGTGCAACTTAAAAGCTGGAACTGAAGTGAATTTGCATTCTTACACGTAAAAATGATAATCAAGATGTAAAACAATATAAAATAACTTTAAATAATCAATAAGATCTCAGAAACAGTTAGAAAAAAAATTTTAAGTTTTCAGCTGTAACTTTCCCACTCTTCTCTTAGGTCTGATGCCATTACCAGCAGGACTTCCCAACCTGACTGATCTGTCCAAACTTAATTTGCCTGCACCACACATCGTTCCAGAAATCATACAGCCTGGTATGTGCTTCTGCAAACTGAAACGCTGTAATAGTGGGTCTCTCCTTGATGATCCTTGACACTCTCACTTAGAGCCATCTGGTGGAGTCCCGAAGAGGATAAATTGAATGTTTGCCTGAGATGGGAGTTGATAGTAGTGCCCCAGTTAGGTAGACAAGGGATAAGTCTTTAGATAAACTAATTCAAAACCTGTGTGTGTATTTAGTTGTTTCATCGTATATTACCTGATTTATGATCTCAAAGACATTGTGCCAAGAATGAAAATATGTAGTTTTATGGGTAGAAGAAAATACGAGATGTTTCCTTGTATGCTAGATGAGGAGATTGCAGCACCCTGATTGAATGCCAAAAGTACGAACTAATACTAGATTTGTGGTTTTGAATAAAACAAAACTGCCGAAGGTGCACATGGAGCAAGCAAAAAGAAATTGGACGCTTACATGGAATAAGGTTCTTGTTAACTTCTTGTTGCTGGCAGTTTCAGTGAATGCCAGAAAAATCTAATCATCAGTATTAATGCACTAAATGCCCAGTCCTCTGGGGAGGCAGAAGCAAACTTGAGTTTATTCTGCTTCTTTAACTCTGAAATCTGGAGAGTATCAGGCTTGAAACTAGCCTGCAGAGTCTGTGCTGCACTGATGTCATGCTCACGCTAAGTTCAAAAACCTTCCTCTTCTACAAGAGTAAATAGGAGATTAGAGAAGGTTAAAATTTTAAGCGAACAGAGAATCTCTCCAGATCTCTCTGGTACGCAGCAGCTCATTGCCTTTGTTCTTTGGGTTTGGTTTTTTTTGTGTGGTTTTTTTTATTTTTTTATTTTTTTTATTTCTCCTCAGGTCTGCCATCCCTTCCCTCCTTGCCGCCTCTGAATCTAATGGGAATAACACCTCTATCAATGCCACCCAAATGTGTTCCTCTGCTTCCTTTGGTCACAGAGGCATCTACAGTGCCTACAGATTTGCTTCCCTCCATTACTCAAGCTGGAAGCTTTTCCGTCGACCCTGGCACTACTGTAAATGTAGAACAGACCTCCCCGCTCACCCTGGATAGCGCTACCCCAACTTCTAAGGCGACTATTGTTGACAGATCAAGTGAATCCTCTGCAGTTAATGAGAAAACATCTGGAGTCACAGATACACAAGCTTCTGAATCGTAACTCCAGATCACTCTGTTGGATTGGCTTGGCTTGGTATTTATTTAGCCATGGGATACATATTTGAAGAGCAAGCTATCATTAATTTCATACTAGTTTGTACTTAATCTTTAGGAGTCCTGTAAATAATATGGAGGTATAATAAAAATAAAAGGGGGTTTATAAAGTGTGTGTGGTGGGAGGGGAGGAAGAGTACTTCTATGTAACCAAAAAAAAAAAAGTCAAAGTGGTAAATAGAATTCCACTGCCAAACCCAGAGGTATATGTTTTTAATATAGGCTGACAGCCTTATCCTGCTAGGCCTGTCCTTGCTTATAATTAGCAATTTTTGCTTCTGATAGAAATGAAGCGGTTATTGCGTGTGACATTTACGTACCATAGTTCTTGTTCTTTGCAAGTATCTTGTTACTACAGTGGGGATGAGAATGTTTAGTCTGAGTTGTAAATTTTAACACTGCAAAACTTCCACCTGACGATATTTCTATTAAAGTTGCTGAGTGACCTGTTAACTGACATCTCGTTATTCAGCTTCTACACAAATCTTTATTTTTAAGCTCTTGAGAGATGCTGAAGCCATGTTTTGTGACTGCTGCTGCGTTGTTTCATACGCCCACTGTAAAATGGCATTTGGAAAGGAATACAGGAAATGTTAAATGTAGCACACAATTTGGCACTTCATGACTACTGTAAGACAAATTAATGGATTAAGCATACATACAGCAATAAATTCCTGGAATTTTATCCTTTGTGTGACAAAATAGCACATTTATTTGTTTAATGCTTAAATTTTCATTTAACTGGTTTTAGCTCAGCACTCTCTAGCACAGATCAGTGAAAGGGCTCCCCTCCAGAGGAATGGATCCAAGAGGGAATGCCAGACTTCTTAATGGCAGGCAGGATCAGCACTAGCAGTTAGATCCGTTGCAGCAATGAGCCATGAAATCTGCCTGCATATGATTCGTACTTGGCTTTTTAAATTGATGTTCAGGATGAAAATTGTAGATGAAATGTTGATTATACACTTGTATAAACTGGCGTGTGTGCTGCACTCCAGGTGATAGCCTTTGCTTCTGGTATCAGGTACAGTTGATGTGGAAAAACTTTGCACTACTCCAGTCCTTCTGTACTACTGGGATTTCATTTTTACGTGTTTGCTACAAGCATATGCAAACTTCAGCCATAGCATCAGCAGGCTGGAGCCTAAAGTCTGTCTTAACAGCTACATAATCCTTTTTGGTAATGTAGTGTGCCTGTTTGGATCCTGTTTGGATCACTGTTTGGAATAGCCATTGCATCTGACTGCTGATCTTAAGGCTTCCACTTGAACTAATTCTTTGACATATTATCTAATACCTCTTGTCCTGTCTCATCTTTATCACTTAAGTATTTGTCTTCCCTCTGTCCCACTACTGCACATTTCGTCATCACCTGTTGTGTCAAAAGCCTGTGTCAGACAGGCCCCAAATCCTTTTTTTTTTTCCTTCACACTGTGAGCGGTTTCTTTTCTTGGCTGCTTGGAGTGTGAAATCCCTCTACCTGGTTGAGTAGGGGGCTCACTGTTTCTCAGAATGTATTTTTGATTTACCTTTGTAAATCCAGAATTAAACCTTGGCATGAGAAGAAGGATGCTCCCTCCTTTCTTTGCTCTATACAGAGAAAGTCTGTTGGTATTGAGCTTCATAAAGTCTCATGGGTTTAGCAGTCTTTCCTGTAACTTCCTTACACGCTTCCACAGCTAGAGTAAAGTCGTCTTTGAGGGGACTGAGAGATGCACTAGGCAACTGTCCCGGGAGAGAAATTACTTTCCCTCTTCAAATGGGTGTGTAGGTATCCTGTGCAAATATCCATAACCAATGCCTCATCCTAGGCTTTTAAAATACAAACATTTAAAAGTCAGTGAAGTGACTTTACATCATTATTATTTTCCTTATGTAACCCAAGAACAGTAGAAATAGAAGTTTTTCATATCATTTAGAGCAGTTGGTGATAGTAATCAGATGCCTTGAGCTAGAATCTTTGTGTAGGTTATTTGTTTTTATTCTTACAGTATGGCAGTGTCCTTTGGAGTGACATCTGAAGTTAGCTGGCATGTTTCTGTGCTTTCCAACTGCAAGCTGCAAACTTATTGTAGGTGTTGTGCAGTTGTCTCTAGTAGCATTCAAAATAAGATGCTTATCTCAAGTCACGCACTGTTAGCTAGTTTCATGTCCCTTGTTGCCCACTGTATAGATCCGGCCTTCGATAGGTATGAGAGCAGTAGAAGGCACTGTTTAACCATCAGCAATTCTGCTAAGGATAACATGACTTCAAATTCGGAGATGATTCAATGGTGCAGATTTTAAGCTGCAATCTCCCAGCTAAAAAGTCATAAATATGGAGAAGTCAGAAACTTACCACTTAAAATAGAAGCAAGGACCTTGAAGTCATATTACTGCACTCTGATCCTGTTTTTTAATTCCCTCAACTAGATTTAATGAAATCATACCTTAATCACTTCTGGCAAGGGTCTCTTTAATGGCTTTTTTTTTTTCCCAAAAAAAGAGAATAAGGAGAGATAAGGACTTGGGATACACCAAGGGACTGGCAGCCGGTGTGACCTTGTTTCCATGAGTTCATGAATTCAGCTGTTAATGAACAGTTATGAATAGGCATATTAGCTTTATTTAAAACATTGACACACGGAGTTCTTTAACAAGTACTGACAGCAGACAAGAAGGCAGATGTACCGTGAGCTTCCCCACCCTTGCATGTAATTAAGAATGATTTGCATGTGTGTGCCATACTGTAAAATAAACAGGGTATTTTCCTGCTCCCCCGGAGGCTGCTCTGGGGGCAGCGGTGCTCGGGGGCGGGCGGGCCGTGAGCCCGGCGGAGGAGCTGCCGTTTGCAGCCCGAGGCCCCGCTGGCTCCCCGGGCACCGGCTGCTCAGCCGCCAGGGCCCAGGCAGGAGCGTGGACAAGGCCTTCGTGGTGAACGTGTCACGGGGGTGTATAGCGGGCTGTTTCCGAGCCCCTGACTGCCATCTTTTACATCAGTCCTGTCCGGCGTTAAACCTCCCTGCCAGCCCTGGAGCTCCATTTGTTCCCGGGAAGGAGCTGTGCGGGGCCACCAGGTGGCGTGCGCCCGTTTCTTTTTGCTGCGTTTACAGGCTCAGCAGTGGGGGTGGTTTGCTGGTTCCCGCCCCCCACCCCCAGCAGCAACTGTAGTCAAATGGATGCCAGCTGGATGCTGAATGATGGAACTTTAAGGACTCGCAGATAACTCTAAAGCCAACTGATTTGAAGGCAGAAATGGGCTGAGCTTAAGCTATTTCTAAATGCTAGAATTTTGCTGGCAGTTTGCTGACTGTAGCTAAGCTAAGCAGGGGGCAGGGTGAAAGTTTGTTTTGAAGAAGGCAGCTCCTTACAGGCAGGGACTCGTTGGAGATACCGTAATGCTCAAGGAGAGGAGAGGCCTGAGTAATATTTCAAACCTCTTGGTGATGTAAGTGCTGATTCTGGAATTAAGTTGAAGGGGGCAGGATAAGGATCAGTGGTGTTTGATCGTGGCGCCCTGTCTTCCTCAATTATGCACAGGCCGTGTCTGTACTAGTCAAATAAATGTGTTCACAGTCGCTCCCTACCGTGGAGGCCCCACTGGCACCAAGCTCGGATTCTTTGGTTCATCACTTGGACTTAGATTTGAATCCTGTAATGGTAGGCAAGACTCAGACTGCAAATGTGTTTCTTCCTTTGTGAGTGTTTGTAGTTCATAACTAACTCCTGCTTTGTAGTTCTGCTCTGTACGTTCCTCAGGGTAGTGCCAATGGCTTAATACATATTTGCACAGCCCAGCACACAGTGTCTTGCACTGTGCTGCAACTTCTAGTGGTATCTTTAGCTCAGAAAGCAAAAATCTTCAAACTGATTTGCCTGTAACATCTGTAGTAGAATTTTTTTTAGCTGTGGTATAATGGGAAGCCAACACCTACCATAGCACAGTTTTAAAGTGACATACTTAAGGTGCAAGGACCAATCTCAAAAAAACCAAAACCAAACAACCCACTGCCCCAGTCAAACAGAAAACTTCATTTAACTTAGGTGAATCTCCAACACGTCTGTCCCTGCAATCCTGGTGAAAGAGTTAAAGCATAGTAATGTGCCATTTTACGGAGTATCAAAGAGATTTGCAGATGGTGGCTACAGAGATAGTAAGCTGATGAAGGAATAAATATGTCCTGTTCCAGAAGCCTCAATTCATTTTTATCCTTAGGCCTTGTGAATACATTATGTTGCCAGGGTGCAGCTAGCAAATCAGAATTTCGCTTGGGTAGATGACTGGTGTTTCTTAGGAACAGCTTGTGCACATATTTCAGTTGCAAGTCAGTACCAAAGTGCTGGCTTTGTGTTATGACATACTTGGTGTGCAAGACTGCATCAAGACACGGAGTTCAAAGGCCACAGGCCTGGCATGTGGAGGCCTGCTCTGGCTGAGAAGGGTTAGGTGGGGTGCATGGTTTTGTTACCTTACTCACAGCGGGAAAGTGCATTCCTGTCTCTGCCCATCAACCACGTGCCTGCCTCTCCACTGCTCTTCCTTGCTCCTGGAAAGGCAGACGTTTGCCCTGAGAGGAGGTTGCAATCATTATTACTCTGCACTGACAAGCTGACTACAGCCCTATCAAATAATCACAATCTCAGCCTTGGAACTTTTATCCTATGGGATCAAAAGGTATGTTTCATCCTTAGTTGTGCAATGTAGTATTTTTACTCTCTCTGAACAGTTTGCTTTGTTATGTTTACAGTTAATCCATTTTAAGACCTGCATTCCAGCATTGCTCAGCTCACCCACAAGAGAGAGCTCCAGAGACCACAGAGGTCAGGCTCACCTTGGGCAACCCATGGCAACAGCGAAAGCCACTTCTGCCAACAAACCAACCCATTTTAATAACGATCCTCTTGTCTGAGTGCTGTTTACTCTGCCAGCAAGTGGTTTCATATTCACATCTTTGTTCATGGCCCTTGCAGCTTAGGTGAGCTATGAAATTCCAACAGAAGCTAAAAAAAGGAAATGAGTGATGAGCTCAAGCCACAAAGCCTATAGTCGGCATAGGCTTGCTAGTTATGTAAGAAAATCCTCCAACGGAAGATTATAATATTAGCAAAAACAATGCAGAGCTATGAGCTTTACGCTTGACAAGGGGTGCTGGATGTAACGGGGGTCACCGAGGGTCAACTCGTCTGGACCTTCTGATGTGCAGAAAGGACATTATAGCACTGCCTGGATCCTGCTCCCTGAAGACACCTCCTCCCAACCCTTGCATTTTATCAGCTAACATCCTCTACTGGCAGCTTCCATGAACAAACGGCTCATTTTAGTGTTCTTGCTCCTAAATGAACAATAGTTACAAATAACAGATCTTCAGCCAGCATCACTACATTCTCACCTGGTATAAAAGAAATAGCTTTCAGTTCTTTGCACGGGGCGGGGGACAGGGGGAGAGAGAGACAGACAGTTCAGTAGCTAAGACTTAGCAGTGACCATCTTGCTACCATCTTGCCCTTATCCTTCAAGCTGATTTCCCCTGAAATTTTGGTTTTTTTAGTCTTCAAAATAGTCATCTTCAAAAACAAACTGAAGATTTCAAACCTCCCGTCCTGGTGTTTCTAAGTACCCATTGTATGGGCTTGGAGCTGTGCACATACCACGTGCTTGGATTGGCCCATACCATCAGGCAGTGCTTAAACAATTTAAAGAAAGATTCTGGGAACTGAAGATAGC